TCCCTGCTGTGGCATAGGAAAATAAAGCGAAAATTGCCAAGTGTAGACTGACCTTGGGGGGTTCCCTTTTTTTTCAGGCTTGGTTTATTTGTTTTTTGTTTTGTTTTGTTTTTCCCCCTCCAGACAAATGGAAAAGTGCTTAATTATTTCAGAAGTTAAATTGATTAAAACGGGGGCCTGTGGCATATGTGCAGTTGAGATCTCTGGTGTCTCAGGTGCAGTACTGGGAAAACGAACATGGAATTAGCAGCGACCTCTGAAGGTTTCATCTTACCTGATTCATCCAGCATTGCACGAGAGCTCGGGCTGGCAGAGATAGGATCTAGTTCTCCAAGGGTTCATAAAGATGAGGCTTTCCTTTTTCTTCTCACAGTCACTGCCTCATTAGCTACACATTTATTCAGCAAGACAAGCGCAAGTTTTACATGTAACAGCCTTTTTTCTAGGCAACTGGGTTCTTTCTGTGCCTGGTCCAAGCTATGCATGGAGCAAGTCTGATTTTCTTTGCTCAAAAACCGGTACACGATGTGTTGTGAAGCCCCTCTGTAAATCCCTGTTTTTCTGGGGAACTTTTAACCTAGAATTTCTATTTTTTTGAGTGCTTAACTTTATGGCTTTATTAGTGTTTCTGTAATGTGGGGGAGGTAGGGTGGAGGATTTGGGGGATGGCTTGGGTGCAGATTCTCACTTCTGCACCTGTCGACACTTGCCTGGGAGCAGTGGTAGATTACAGCATGAGCTCCCCAAAAAGATGCTGCTCTTGTACCCCTTTTTGTGTTCTCTTAAAAGATAACTTCAGACTGAGCAATCCAGAGTCAGCTCAGTGTGAATTAGATGGCAGGATATGTCAACAGGTTCACTAACAGTTTTGGCTATAAAAGGACAGATTTTTAGAAATGAGCGGAACGAATTAATGAGATCAGCTACTCGTAAGAGCACAGGAGGAGCTGTTGGATTAGTTTCTTTTATGTTAAAGGTAGGAGAACTGTCTGAAGTTTGCATCCTCAATGAGAGAGGAGAATTCGTGTGAGAGGTTGCAGACCTGAGTGAATTAATAACTTGAGGGAAGAGTATTAGGACCGGCAAGGAATGGATGAAATGTCCGACAGGCAAATAAAGGTACTTTAGAGGTATGAAGAGAGTCTTGCAGTACATTAGGCTGCTGGGCATCACAGCCTATATTGAGACAAGCAACAAACTTTTGTCTGATCAAGTAAAGAAAAATAATAATGAGAAGAGATGACCCTCAAACTCATGACTGAGCCTAGGGACAAATCAAGGAGAGACATGGAAACAGAAATTTCCTGCAGCTGAAGTGAAACAACAACTCAAAGGGCATCCCACAGCAGACTGGAGGAGCTGACACATGTGGCTATGAGAGCGACAGCAAGGTTTATTACTGTATTTTCCAAGTTGAGAGTAGTCCCTACAATTGATAACCAGGACAGACATGTGGGAGAGGGAAGCAGTGATCCAGGCAGCCAGCTCTGTGGGTGCACAGGAATATGTGTTGGGACAGGCTGGAGGATGCATGTAGCTGAAGCACTGCGTGTAAGCAAAAAAATGGGATAAAATGCAGCAAAGGGTGTTTGAGTAAATTGTTTCTGCCTGACCTGGAATCTTTATTTGGTGAGATAAAAATGGATTTTTCTGCCTCGATCTAGACTTAAGCAAAGCATTTGAATTTCATGTGAGGAAATTGTTAAACTAGAGGCAGCGGTGCTATTTAAAAAGGATGTATCCTATTGGGAGATAACTACAGATTGAGCTGAAGGCAGGATTGACAGGTTGGAGCAAGGTTGCCAGTGGGATTCTTGTCACTTACTTAATATTAACACTAATGTTATTGACACAAAAATATCAAAGCATGCTTAACAAAACTTGCTGATGAGCAAAACCGGGATCTTTTGTCCACACAGAGGAGGATCTGCAAGAGGGAGAAGAATTACATGGCTGGAGAACTAAGTAGTGAGAATTGAATGACGTGGTAGTATAAAGTGAAGGGCGTGCATTTAGATGCAGTAACGAGAACTAAGAATTAAGACCTCATCTGAAATTTCTGTGTGCAGTTCCAGTCTTGTTCAAAAAAGGTGAATTTGTGTTGAAGCAGAGATGGATCTGCAGTTGTAAAATCAGGGGAGTGGAGAAGCTGTTTTATGAGAGGAGTTGCCTTATTTAGACAAGTGAAATGAAGACTGAGAGGGAATATGATCGTGCTCTTATAAAGAAATTGGAGAGGAAAGGTAGGGTAAACACCTCAGAGATTTTAGAAGAGCTTTTTAAGCTAAAAGATAATGTTGGCACATGAACAAATGGGTATACACTGGCCATGAATAAATTTAAGCTGAAAATTAGAAGAATCAACAGGGGAATGAGACTGTGGAAGAGCTTTCCAACCAGGGGAAAGGAAGCAAAAATGTAACTAGTTTTAGGACAAACCTTAATAATTTTATTAAGGGGGCTGTGTAGTGTAGTGCTTATGACAGCAGGGAACCGGGCTGGTGACCTACAGAGTTTCTGCCAATCCTACACTTCAAATGCTTAGGAACACAGTGTTTGCAGAGAGGAGGTCAACCTGTATTTGTCAACTGGCTTTCCCTTGTAGGAGCCTTGTAGGTATTATACTGGCATGCTAGAGCTTTTCCAAGCTACAGTGATTGCATCTCACATAAGAGATGTCTCATGTGGCCTCGTTGTAGAAATAATAATTCAATTAATAGGATGCTTATTTAAATAACAAGTTTTGTTTTTTTTTTTTTTCCTCTCCATCCTTGTCTTTCAATGACAAGCAGAAAAATTGGGGTGACAAGGGAAAAGAGACTGCCAATTTAAAAAGTATTTGCTAAAAATATTAAATGAAATATTATTTTGAATCCTGTCTTTAAGTTTTTTTTTTTTTTTCTGTTCCCTTTGAAAAAATGTTTTTTGCTTGTCAGCCACTTCCAAGAGCTAGACGTGGTGGAATAACCCACCAGGGTAGTTCTCAAGGTGACACGTCAGATATACCTGGGACTTGTTTAGATGTTCCTGTAACTAGCACCCTGTAACATCTCCCAGTTAATCTAATTAGTGGAAGCAGTGGCTATGGATTTATTGCAGTACCGTGCACTGTGATACTCTTACTGTTTCTCTGATCTCTGTTCATACCCAGGAGTTTGTAGGAAGCTCTTACAAACAGGTTTTTGGCTGTTTCTTTGTCACAGGTGGTTTTGGATTGCTGTGAAGGTGGATCTCAGAGGGAAGCAGTGGACAATCTGCTCAGGAAGGTGGATGAAGAGAAAACCCTCAAAGCGGAAAGTTTGGTCAAACTTCTGGGGGCTGTGAAAGCATCATTCCCTGGTCTCCACCTTCTGCTAGATGACTTGGTGGCAACGGCAAACGTCTCTGACGGCAAAGGTATGGGTACACTAAATTTCAGACTCCTGGGGACTCAGTTCAGAGAATTGCCAGGAAGTTTGGATGCTTCTCTGCTTTCATTTAAGGGAATGGGATGGCCATTTTATGCAAACAAAAATCGTCTGGGAGCGCTCGGGTAGGAGGACTATGCTAGCAAGAAGGCCCCTGCTTTGCAATGAAATGAGAAGTGTTGTGCAGAAGCCTGTTGGGCTCCTTCCTTGAGTTTGACACTGATAGGGGAGAAACTAGGATGTCATCTCTGGAAAACAGGAGAACTATTCCCTCCAGTGTCAAATTACTTCTTGGTTTTGAGTCACTTAAAAGCAGCAGCGTGTGTCTCCATAATAAAAAGAACAATTTTCACTTAATAAACCCTTCATAGGTGAAGGCATCTTTACCAAACTCTGGTCCATTGGTGACTTTAACTCATGATACTTGCTGGCTTTGAAAGAAAATACCTGAAACTTCCCCAGAGCTGTACATGTCTTGAAATTAAATACAGGCAATGTCTTACCTGGCTTCAGTCTTTGTGAACTCCTTGTGATTGAGGGAGATTGCGGGCTGTGCCTTTGATTGGGTAGTGTTTCTGCACATCGTGGTCATTGAGTTGTGGTCTCCTGTGTGGAGCACAGTATGCTGATGGGAGTCCCACACTTAGTGTCCCCATTAGACATCATTATCTTGGACATCTAGTCTCCTTCTTTTTGTTTTACTGGGGTTTTATTTTGTTGCCTGCCAATGGTGGTTCAGGGACTTGTGAGTCCTCACCTTTTGGCTGGAGGACAGCCTTCCAAGTTTGAGTGGGTTTAGGCAGCAGTTCAGATAGAGAGGCAAATTTCACCAGCTCTGAAGACATTTAAAAATTAAAAACTAAATTAACATGCAGTGAAATGTAAATGAGTGTTTAATAGAAAGCAAAATTGTGCTCATAATGCTGATTATTTCCTCTGCAGCAAGCATTCCCGACAGGCAGTTTGCTTTGTCATTTGTTAAGCATGATTGCTTTCTTGAAACACCAGGCTCCCAACATGGTTAATTATCTAGTGGTAATACCCATTCCAAGGAGGAGCATTCCTTAATTACATAGAGCTGAATCTCCTCAAATTGCAGCTTGAACAAACAGAAGCACAAATATTTCTCATCGTGGAAATGAAGAGGGAGGGAATGATTTGAGCCACTGATGTTAGCCTTTGATGTCCTGTGCTGTCCTGCTAACAGAAAGGAGGACGTCTTGTACGCTGGTGCAGGGCACGCTCTGGTTGTGGAGCTCACCTTGGTACAGCAGCAGAACTGAGAGTGCATTCCTAACAACTCAAATTTGTGTAATAAAATCAGAAACATTCCAATGGGAGAAGGGGGAAAATATTTTTATTTGTAAACCGTCTGCTGATCCATGTGGGGCACATCCAAGTCACACCTAAACCTTACAGAGCTCAAGTGCTTAATGAGGTTACCTTAGCTTTGCCAGGGAGTAGACTTGTGTCTCCAAGAAGTCTTTGTCCAGGGAGTTTTTCATATTAGCTCAAAATCTTCTGGTGATTATTCCCACAGCCTGCCATTGCCCCCTTCACCATCTTGCAGAGCTTTCTCTTCCTACCCAGCACTGTATGTCTTCTGGGTCCCAGAGACTGTATCTTCTTTTCACCAAGCTGTGTGTATTTAGCTGCTTTTCTCCCAAGTAGTGCTGTGCAAATAATAGATTTTTCTGTTTGCTACTGAATGAAAATGATTAAAAGACCTAAGCACACAAACAAAAAACACACACAGATGTCTTGGATGAATGACAGTTTTTTGTTTTGGTTTCTCCTACAAAAGTATAACTATGCATCTTCTCCAATTTAGTAACTCCAACAGTGAAAAAAAATCCTTTTCAGATTCATCTCTTTGTCAATTTCCAGTTTTATTTATCAACTAATCTGGCACAAGTACAATCATATATTACTTAAGGTACACAGGATATTTTGCCCAAGTCTCTTCATTATCCTGAATAAACACTGTTCCTCTTTCTTGAATTAGTCCATTGAGTCCTGATACTGGGGTGTCTTTAAAGGATTGCGGTGTTACTCTAGAGTCATCGTCTCTCAGATTCATCAGGGCAAACCTCAGCAGACCCAGCTTGGAATTAGATATGGGAGGAGAAAGGAATGAGGTCAAAGTTGCATTTGTTTTGGTGTAAGGGAGAGAAGAGGCTGTTACTGCTTTGCAATCACAAGTCTGGTTTGTATTCCTTTAATATTTTCACCAAGGACAACTCAGCCCGCTAAGTTCTTGGACCATCTGTGTGTCTGTAAAATATTAGTATGTTTGATAGTCATACACTGCTGAGATGGAGCATGTTGCAGAGCTCCTCAGTGGAGTGGAGCAAAGACTCTCACTTACAGACCTCTTTCAATGAAACTACAATTAAGAGTCAGTAATGGGGTCTCCTTGATTCCAGGGCATCAGAAGAGGCTGATGAACATCTCGAGGTGTTGTCTTCACAGACAAGGCCACATGTTTACCTGCTGAACATGGCTGAAAACCGAGACTTTCTTCTTCTGGGCTGAGACTCGGAAGGCATTTGGGTGCCAGAGATCTATTTTTGTAGGCACATATGGGCAGAGGATATTCTGTGTTGTCTTTGGTTTGGAGAAGTTTTGATTTGTCATGTTCATCCTCTGCTTGAAGGTGAATCCAAGTGTCCTGAGCGTAAGGCCCTGAGCGTTAGTGACCCAGGGAGAACTGGCTGCCTTGGCTTTTTTGGTCTCCCGTAGCTCTGAAGCCCTTTGGGAAGATGCTGCTGTTCTTATTTTCATTCATTTGCATTCAGCCAAATGGAGCCCAGAGGATTATGGAGCCAAACTGTTGAGACGATACCAAGAAAACTTAGTGGAGCTCCTCACAGACACCCCGACGCTGCTGCGGGGCATCTCTGCTGCACAGAGCCTGGCTCCTGCTGAGAGAGAGGTAAGCAGTCTCCTGCATGTGTGCAAGCAGATACTGAGCTTTAATCCCCATCTGGGATCCCTATCAAGTCCTGAGGACTTGATTTACTACCTGTCATGGCTTGGTTTGGGGCAGTCCTCCAGCAGGACTTAGTTTAGTGATTCCTTAGTATTCCATAGCGGAGTGAAGCAGGTAACGTATATGAAGCTGAAGGTTGGCAAGTAGGAGCGGCTGATTTGGACACTGAGGAGATATGCTCAGCTTCAGTGAGTCGAGGAAATGGCTGATGTGTTTGGGTGAAGGGCTGGGCTTCAAAGCAGTCACCGCTTGGGTTGCACTGTGAGCCAAGACTTCAGCAGGGCGGAAGCAAGGGAAGGCTTGGGTCTGGGGTGAGCCACGGTTGTCGCTAAGCGTGACGCAGGGCAGATAAATGGGGTCACTTGTTAGTGCCTCACTGTGGGTCTTTCCAAGGCGATGGAGCAGGTTGTGAAGCGTGAGGCCGGCGGTTTCGCCTCCCTTGTGTCGGCAGCGCTGGAGGAGCAGTCTCTGTCGGTCTCTGCTGTTTGGCAGCTGCTGCTGGCTGTGCGGGAGCCTGCACCGCTGAACCTGCTCATGGAGGAGATCCGGAAACAACCTGGCGCAGAGTTTTTCTTCCAAGCAGGTAATGGCCTTGGT